ACCATAACATTATTTTCATTGCTTCTTCATAACCGTAATTTTGCTACTGTTGTGAATCGGTCGACCCCTGTGAAAGGGTCGTTCAACTCCCAAAGGGGTCACGACCCAGAGGTTGAGAACCGCTGTCTAAAACGTTAACCATGACAAGTCTATGAAGCACAGTTCTGCCCTGAAACATATGGGTTTGGCATGAGTCAGAACCACCTCAATAAAACCTGTTTAATTTTAATCTATAAAGCATGCATCTTAACATGAGCATATTAAGAATAAATTTTCTTCACCATCGTTAACACAAAAACACTACCAATTCTCATATAACACTGCTAAAATGCATTAAATTCCTTAAACAATTTAAAATACTTCAATAAATCAGACTTCAGTTAAATAGAGTAATAGTAACATAGTATCAAATTTTTTGAGAATATGTTTTTTAAATCCTTTTATTGGGAGCTCTTTGAACCCCTGACCTTGTGATTTGAAGACCAGCACTTACCCATTAGGGCCACCAGGACCCCATGGTATGATTAAACTGTGGTAAATAATTTCTAGTCCAGAGGTAATCAAATACCGAGTAGTTACCAGAACTAAACATTGTAAGTATTCAACAAAGGAAATCCTACATCTAAAAAGTAACCATGTTATGTATTTGCACACACACTCAACTTACAAGCATCTGTGATTGATAAATGGATTGTTAGAATTCCCTCTAGCAAACAGTGAACAAGCAGCTTTAATGAGGCTTCTGACCCTACCTTACGGATCGCCTAGGGAATCTGAGAGCCAGTACTTTCCCACCAGATATGTCAGATGCTACAATTCCGACTTGCAAATCTTGTTTCTTTCTTTCTAGATTAAACCTTTTTAAAACTTTCTTAGCTGTGCAACAATAAGCAAGACGCTTCGGAAACATTACAAGAAGCATTACCTTCTCCAATGAGCACTTGGGGAACAGATTTTCAGAGGACAGCGTTTTAGAAGCAGTAGGAACCTCATTGTGTCCAAGTCCCACGTTTCACAGAAGAAAAAGACAAACCGCACAGGGGTTAAATGCTTTGCTGAAGGTCTGCAATCTGATCGATGGTAGAGCGGGGATGGGAAGCTAGTCACCTGGCTCTCAGTCCTGCACAACAGTGGTCTGAAAAGGCAATTTCCCAAGCCTGTTAAAAAATCACACGTTTCCTACCTCACACAGACCACTCCAGTTGTTGGCATGAAGAGCTATTCTTCTCAACATGGGGGGACCACTGAATGTTCTTTGATTCAGCAGGCTGCCTTGTGGCAGAAATGCATGGAGCATGCGGGTACAGCGGCTGACCATTCAAGGTGCTGCAGGCACTGAGTGAGATGACAACCACTGCGCGGAGATTAGCCTCACAGCCTAAGTCATCAACTCACTGCTTCCTGAAGGGTTGCTATGTTAACATTACTAACCCAGGTGCTAGGAGGAATACATAAGGAAGAGAAGAATGTGAAAGGAGGGTGGAAAAGAGGGTTAAACCTCCCTATAAGCCTCAAGGACTTAATTCTAATGTAGAATACAAGTCAGACGTGAGTGTTCCAGTGTTTAATATAAGCACCCCAAATTCACTGCCATCAAGTTGATTCTGATTTCTATCAAGCCAAGTCATTCTGCTGCATGGAATGACCTCACGGGCTGCCCAAGGCAGCTGACGGCCAATATTCGGTCTCATAGACCAGCTGGTATGTTTGAATCTCAGCCATTCCCACTTTTTCATTAGCAGCTAAGCATTTTAACCATCGGGCTAGTATATCTCCTGAAAAAGAGACCTTAGCAACTACAGGGAATCTGCAAGGGACAAATCATTAGAGAACATAATCATCAAGGGAGAAGCATGCGGCTTTCTTCTCCTGTGAAGAGTTCATCTCAGAAACCCACAGGGGCACTTCTACTCGGTCCTATGGGGTCCTTATGATAAGGTGACCAGATGTCCCACTTTTGGTGGGACAGTCCTGATTTTTAACAATCTGTCCCGCGTCCCGCGGCATTTTAAAAAAGTCCCGATTTTTGGAAAGAATGCATGACAAGCTAGGGTATATGGTTTTCGGCTGCCATGTGGCTATTTCACCAGGATATGAGTTTTATCAATGGTGTCCTGCTTTACCAATGTTAAAATCTGGTCACCTTACCATACGAGTGGGCATGGGCTCGACTGGCAGTGAGCTCATATATATATCTGTAAGGGAGAGTCATTAACCTCATTCAAGCTGCTTGGTCATTGTTTGCTAGAAGCAATTCTAACAGAATCCTATAATCAATCATATTTATCAGTCAATCAATGTATCAATCTCTTTCTATAAATGTATGTATGTAGATTGATGCATACATATAGAGATTAATACATATACACACTTGCAACATACATGTATGTGTGTGTGTGTGTGTGTAATATATGGCTCATATGCTTGTAGACACTAGCAAGTGCCACGTCCATGTCAGCTATGTGGCTTCAGGTTGCTCTTGCCCAGCCCCCCTCTGGAGCTGATGAACACAGACATGCAGGTCAGACCCCAGGCTGCTGGCTACGAAGTGGTGAATTCAGAGTTGGCAGGTATAATGGAAGGTTGTTGCTGCACAGATACAATGGCTCACAATTCCCTGGATCAACTGGCCGCTGGCTCAAGTCCACAGAACCAGAGATATGATGAGGAGAAGCCGGAGGAAAGATGCGGATCCAGAAAAAGCAAGAGAACTTCCACAGAATGTCCATCTGGATTAGAAACACGGTATACCCATGAGGAACTCCCCATTCAGTGGTCAGCTGCTCGTCACAGGTCTCAGCATAGGGGGCTGCACGAAATCAGAACACAGCATGGTGGATGACTGCATCATCACTCCCAAGCCCGAGACTCATGGCCCAGTCACGATGACACATAATCTTTACCCTCATTGGTGGTTACTTACTTGTAAAACAAAAACAAGGGAAATGCCACTATAAATAATAACATGAGAACGATACATTCACTTTTTCTAATGGATAAGAGAAAGATTTATATAAAAAGTACTTATATATCAAGGAAGCATCCCAGCCCAGTCCAAATCAAGTCTGTAAGTCCGATACTAGTCCCTAAGTCCCTCTTCAGACTTAGGCAGTCACACGCAATGATCCAGAATGCAGGCAGATCATAGACCGATGGGTATGAAGTCCTGTGGATCCAAGGTTGGTGGAAACACGGCAGCACTCCAGCAGCTCCCAGGGTGGCCAGCAAGCAGGAAGGTGAAGGCAAGGTTGGTGGGGGGAAGGGGGGGAGGTTGTTCCCTGGGCCTTCCTTATGAGAAGGCCACATCCACAAGGAGGCACCATTAGGCTGAGACCTGATTAACAGGGTTTCTAAATACTAGACCAGCACTAATAATCTTAACTCTCTAGTAATCAACTGTTGTACTATATTATTTTCTAAAATCAATGAAGTTGTAAACAGAATTTAGAAAACATATAGTCTAAGAAGATGTTAGCTATCTACTAACTAGTGAAGCACAAGTTTAAGAACATTATTATTTTTTAAAGAATATAAGGGAGGTGGATCCAAGATGGTGAATTCCAAAACCCAAACCCTCACTGCCATCGAGTCCGTGGTGACTCACAGTGACCCTACAGCGCAGGGTGGAACCGCCCCAGTGGGTTTCCCAGACGGTACATCTTTCCTGAAGGATAAAAGCCCTGTCTTTCTCCCAGAGGACAGATGGTGATTTCGAACTGCAGACCTTTAGGATCACAGCCCAATGCATAACCATGATGCCACCACGGCTTCTAAATGGCAAATTAGGCAGACAGGTCACCCAGACCCTCAACAACAAAGACTCAAGACATCAAGAGAAACAGCTTTGTTTGGCAAACCTGGAGTACAGTACTTCAAAGGAAAGAGAAAGAGCTTGACTGCAGACCAGTAAGAGGAAGATGCTGAACATCCCGTAGGTCAGCCCACGTGTTCAGATATTAAATAAGTCTCAACAGACATGAAAGTGCTGGATGACATATACAGAGTTCCATAACAGAATTAAATCAGAAGCAATGACAGAGTTCTGAAAACTTGCAAATATTTCTAAATTAAAAAACATACTTGTAAATCACCCAAGAATTAGAAAATAAGCCACGATGGTCATCTGGAACTAACACAAATGAGAGCGAAGAAAGAAAGATGGCTGTTAAAAGCATCATCCTTTCCCCGTAAGCTCCCCGGACTTTGACTCAGAAGACTCACTGCTGTGAAAATTTCAATTCTCTCAACTTGATCTACACAGTTCCATGTAATCCCAATGAAAATCTTTGCAGGATATTTTGGTAGTAATTGACCACCTGAAATATTCTAATTCAACCTAAAATATTATGCATTTAATCCCAAAACTAATAAGGACCAAAAGTCTAGTTATTTAGTTGTTTGTTTTAAGTTGCAGGATTCACATGACCCGACCTAAAGACTGTTGCTCCCACTTGCTGGCAAGTTGACAGCTTACCTATGAGACTACAGTCAAGCCCGTAACTACGAGACGACAATAATGGAGACAGTGTGATATTGGTTTAGCTACAGTGAACAGCCACAGAGAGCATACTTCTATTACCATAGACTCGTACAGAAATGTTGCTCTATTTAAAACTTAGTTGATGGTACAGTAGAGAAAGAAGAACAAAGGAACAATGTTGGTTTTCTCCCGGTCAACATAATCCTTTCCTTTTCTCACGGAATCTTGATGGTTCCTTCATCCACAGTCATGGAGAAGCACAAATTCCAGCCCAGTCACTTCCAAACTATGTGCCCATTAGTGAATTACTTGACCCTCTGACCCTCAGTTTCCTCATCCTAATTAGTCATTCGTGTAGTGCACAGATTAAATTAGATAAGCAAGGTAAGAGGAATTACAACATTCATCATGCCAAGTCCTTGTCTGTAAGCTCTTCCGCGTGAGGAGTTTGTGTTTTGAATGACTCAGTCTGGGACACTGAGGACTCTCACAGAAAGCAAGCACTTCGTATTGCACGTACCTGGGCTGGGTTTTTATAACCCAAGAGTAGATTTGCTGCTTTTATGTCACCATGAATATATTCATTCTCATGTATATATTCCAGTACATCCAACTGTGGAAATAAATAAATAACACCAAGTTACACTGCTGTCTATTCTGTAACACCAAGTCATACTGCTAACTCGTCATCAATGGAACATGTTGACTATCAACTAACACATGCATTTGTTTTCATTTTAACACTGGCAAAATAAAAGAGGTCACAATTATTTTAATCATCCTCTGCTAAACTCTCACTTCTACTAACTTATCATCCTGTAAAAAATGTTGATACACAGTTCAAATGTAAAATGCCTTTAATGAAACTCTGATGGAAAGAAACCCAAGTTCAACATTGTCTGCACCCTTGAGAGCTCAGCCAAATCACACCGTGTAACAGACAAAGCACAGAGCAGAGCGGAGCTCTGGAGCAAAGCAGTCATGGACCGACTCCTTCTCCAAGTTGTAATCACTGCACTTGCATGTAAATAACACTAGCTTTCTAGGTTTGCTGCCAATTGCTCCTGCCTCCCCAGGGGGTATTTTCATAAGTGTACCCAAGAGGTATTTCATAAAAAAATAAAGAAAAGAAAACATGTATCTGTGAAGAAAAAATAGCAAAAGGAACTTACTAAATAGGAGAGAGAGCTCTGGGAAGCAAATGTAAGAAAAGGCACTGCCATCGAGTCCACTCAGACTACAGGGCAGGTGGAACTGCCCCTGCGGGCTTCCTAGACTGTCAACCTTTACGGGAGCAGAAAACCCCGTTCTTTCTCCTGGGTGCCCAGTGGTTTTGAACTGCAGACCATGCAGATCGCGGCCCAACTGTTAACTATCAGGCCACAAGGGCTCCTGCAAACTTAAGAAGGTGTGTGTTCTTTGAGTAAAAAAACACAGGCACACATGAAGTCTTGGGAACCCCAGATTAAAACCCCATGTCAATGAACATTGGAAAAGGCTTTCCCCCTCTGGAGATAGCTCCCTAGTCCCAGTTTTGAAACCTAATGCTTGCAGCTAGTGCTAGCTGAGCACTGGCTGGGTAGATGGAGGGTAAGTGCACACACAGATCCACAAGCTCCATTGCCATGTTCCAATTTGGCAGCAGTACTTTCTCTGGCCTCACAAAGGAGAAAAATAAGTTGAGGTTCAGGCCAACCAAACACAAACTAGATAAGATGAATGTGTGACATAAACAAAATGTGTGCATGGGTGCTATTAAGATTTCATTGCTTCTTATTTGGCAAAGTATCTATTATTCATTGCCACAACCAAGTACTTCCACCATCCCAAACTCATAATAAAAATTTTATAGCACCCCCATACCATCACATGTTCAATGTGGAAAATAATCCGTTTTGCCGTAATTTGCATTGTGATAAATTTGAGGGAGCTTCAGAAAGTTTACAGGAAAAATGGAATTTAAAGAGAATGGAATTTTTCCACAAACTTTTCGAAGCCCCCTTGCATAAATGACATGAGAGGTTTATTTTTACAGCCATGGCAACTTGTTCTGAAATGTAAAACGAAGCTGTAAGGAAAAAAACACACAAACAAATAAATAACAGGCTGCAGAACCAATGCCTAACTGAGTTTGGATTGCCAAACACAGCGTGGCCTGCCCCTTACTGGACCTGTTACCAATCTCATCCAAACGCCCTCTACTCTCCACACCCGACAGCGCTAGGGCGGTGACCCTCGTTCTCTGATAATCCCACAAAGGGTGAAGACGTGTACACAGTAATAAGCAAGAAAAGTGGAGCGGATGAAAATAGCCACTCCTTCTTACCATCCGGATGCCTAGGTGCAGGACGGTTGACTTCTTAAAAGTGCCTCGCTGGTCTGAGATCTTCTGTAAGTCCGTCCCCAGTCTCTCCATCACCATAAATCTGTAACTATGAGCAAGAGGCATCAAGAGGTCATCTTGACATCAGAGTGCTCGACATTATCTCCTAATGAGTCTCAAAGCCAGCAGAGAAGGGCGGTGCAGTATGGAACACTAGGGGACGCACGCCCGTTCATAATCTTGCTGCACCATGCGGTCTCTTCGGCATTCACCACCAACCCTCCCGCCAACTCAAGGTAGCCTTGTACCTTGCTTCAAAATTACTGTTGGTTCATTTTGTTTTTTATTGAGATCCTTTAAAGATCATGTGAGTAAAGCACTAAGCTCTGACTCTTGTTTTCTCCCCCATTAAATAAAAATAATATCCTCTTTTTTAAAAGAACTCTTATTAATGACAATGTGCTGCTGCTGCTTTCAGGTGCCATCGCGTCGGTTCCAACCCACAGGGAACTTACGCGCAACAGAAGGAGACCCTGCCTAGTCCCATGGTTCCTGTGCCCGAGCCCACGGGCGAGTCGTGGCTTCCCTCCATCTCCTCGAGGGCCTTGCTCTTTTCCGCTGCCCCTCCCTCTCCTTTACCAAGACCAGACAGATAATGTAAATGAGAATCCCTGCCACCAAATGGGTATCAAATAAAGGGTATCTTTGTAAGAAGGCGTTATCTGTGAGTTGCTCTCATGTGGTGACTAGCCACATTTGGTGGTGTGAAATGACAAATTCTTTGTTACAGCTTCTCTAAGAGCTGGAGCTTAATTAATCTCCCTGTCCCGAGTCCGCGGTGAACTCCATGACTTCCTTCTAGCAAACAGGGTACAACGTGTGTGAGGAGCTACCGTGTCTGGCGTTAGGTGACACAGACATTGTGCTTTCCACAGGACGTGTGTGAGTCTCTGGCATCTCTGGTTTGCTCTCTCTTTGTACTGCTCGCTCCCATCTGCTAGGTTGCCATCAGGACACTCAGGCAGCCAATGGATACGCTCACTGACAAAGCAACTCCCAGCAGTTGCACAGTCAGTTTGAAAGCAGATCTTCTAAAGCCTACCAATGGTCACATGAGTGTACTTAGACGTAGATCCTTCTCCAGTTAAAATCTGAAGTGAATGTAGCGCGCGCGCGGAGGGCTGATAGGATCCCTATAAGAGATCCTGACCCAGAACTATCCAGATTTCTGCCCCACAGACACTGTGAGATATGGTTTGTTGTTTTAAACCACTGTGCTTCCAGAAATTTGCTACAGAGTAACAGTAAGAAAAGCTATGAGGCTATTTAATAATAATAATAATTTCATTTTACCTTTTTCCGTTAAATGTAGTCAGCCCAGAGCCATAAAACAGAGGAATTCCTAAATAATCAAGTTGCTTGAGTGTTATCCACTTTTTGACTGCAAATAGAAATTTGAAAAGAAAGGTTCTTTTCTTACCTTTGCCGAGGGGCTAAGATTTATTTCTCACTACCATCAAGTTGTTTCTGATCCACAGCCACCCTACAGGGCCGAGTAGACGAATGGCCCCTGTGTGTTTCACAGCCTCATCTTTCCCCCAAGGAGCGGTTGAGCTGGAGGATTTGAACTGCTGACCTTGTGGTTGGCAGTCCAATGGGTAACGTAGGCATTATGCCACCAAGGCTCCTTGAGGACTTATTTAGCTAGCCTAAATGGTAATAAAAATCTTCCTCGAGAAGAACAAGTGCTCTACCCCTAGTTTCCAGTTTCCAAGGCCATTTATTGTCACCATATTTCACACAAAACCTGTACATAAATTTTAAAATAAAACCAAATTGTAACAAAAAGCCACAGTCTTATGAAATGCATTGGTATCATATATGTAGATGTCTCTGTTCATGAAAAAACACATTCGTTCATTTGTATGCTAGCTAATTCCTAAATATACCACAAAATAACTACTAAAGAATCAGGAGATAGCTTTTTCTGCCCTATTCCTTTAAAACCCGAAGCAGTGGTGGTCTACCAAATAGATACTGAGCAGAAAATCATGGTACACAGAAATTCTTTGATTAAATTTAGCTTAAAAATATAAAAGTCACTTAAACAATCAACTAACATATTTAATTTTATACTTTTCTACTATGTATGTTTAATGTTTAAGACAGCTCTACTGATAAGCAATCAAGTTTAATGGATTCTATTTGTCACTCTGACATAGTTTAAGCAGTTAGTAAAGACTGCAGTCTTAATGTTTAGAAGGTTTTATTAAGGAAAACAAAGTTAATTATTGAGGCCAGACCATTATTCTTTTTCTTAAACATGTTACAAAATATCTCCACTATAAGACAGTCATTACTCAAATCAGCTTCTATAATGCTTTGCTTCGCCGAGCCACAGCACACAGAATTTAGAATACGTGTCTGTATCCTTCTGTAGCTCGGCTCACTTTCATTTCATGTTCTGATTGATTCTCTCATCTACGATTTCTCGCATCGGATATATAGCTCAAACTAATTTCCCAACATTACAGCCTCTAATATTTTTATTTTCTTAACCATTGCAATATTTACCATTCCTGTTCACCTTAATCCCCGCGAAGGTCACTCCATGTGTTTATATGTCTAGTGGCCATTTTCATGCACTCTTCTTACATTCTACTTGCCCATATAGACCCTCACAAAATAAGTCATCTTTCTATCCTATCTTTCACAGCTGGCGAATTCTTCATCTCTTAAGGCAAGGGTGCGACATTTTATGTAAGGTAGTAGAAACAGCTTTGACTTAAAATATATCATCCATTATGTATTACATACTAAGATTTTTATACCATCTGTCTGGATTTTTATGTATTTTGGCATTTAACTGTATCACTTTACAATGAAATTTCTTACTGAGAACAATTTTCTTGAAGGCCAGAAAGACCAAAATATAAGTATTAATGCCCACTTTAGCAAGCACAAATATGAAAGGAGATCACTTTGCTAATTTTACTTACTGCAGTCTCTTTTTGCAGCTCGTTGATAAAATTTAAGTTCTGAAAATAATGGGCCATTTTCCTGATATTCCTGTAAAAGAAGAGGAAAAATTAATTTGACCAGGGAAGAAAACCACGAGGATGAAAGTGATATTGCAACCGTGGCTTTATGAGTATCCATGTGAAATGCAAATTAGGACCTAGCTCACTTCTTTATAAAACTTGGGCCCTAGATTTTCACTGAAACATCTTAGAGAAGCACTCAAAATGATACTTGAAGACTACCATTTGACCTATGATACATTGTGATTGCTATATCTGTATGTCTTGCCTAAACCACACCCATGGCCATCCCTGTGTTTCCGGCCACAGGGACTCCACCTCCCACAAAGCCGTTGGTGGATTCAAGCCACCAACTTCTCAGTTAGAGGCCACTTACTTAACCACTGCGTGACTAGGGTTCTTCTTCTATGTCTCTCGCCTGAGAAATCTATTCTTCTCAGGAAAAGCACTTACACAAAGCATTGAGAACTGCTCACGTGGCTCTCAGTCTGTACCAGGTGGATACATTACAAATCACTACCTAGAGGTTCGTTCACACATAACACCCTTGCAGAGCCCCTTCCTGGACTCTGCTACATTGTCTTCACTGATTGAAGCGAAAGTGGTACACAGAAATAAAACACTATCCTTGTTTTAAAGACCTTACTATCTACAGTTAAGAAAGTCTTAAAGGAAATGTCGTTATTGTAATTGGCAGGTGCCATAGAGTGGGGTCTGACCTACAGCAACCCTGTGTCCAACCGAATGAAACACTGCCCAGCCCCGTGTCATCTCCACAACTGCTCTTATGTTCCAGCCCTTCAATGCAGCCACCGTGTCCATCCATCTTGTTGAAGTTCTTCCTCTGTTTCTGCACTGCTCCACTACTTTGCCAATCATAAAATGGTTCCAACTTTTGCATTCTGATCGACAGTAATGAACAATGCATATTGATTGTATCTCTGATGAATTTCAGACCAAAGCCATTGGCAGAACTCATCAACTTCATTATAACCTTTTGTGGTTGGTGCATAAATTTGAATAATGTTGTATCGAATGAATTTCCTTGAAGGAAGAGAGAGATAATCCTACCACACACAGCACTGTACTTTAAGATCAATTTAGAAACGTCCTTTTTGACGATGAATGCAACGCCTTCCCTCTTGATGGTTTCATTCCCAGCACATGCCACCACATGATTTTCTGGTTCAAAAGGGCCAGTACTAGCACAGTTCAGCTCACTCATGCCGAGTAATATGTGTGCATTCCATTTCATTTCTGAGGACTTCCAAATTTCCTACATTCATACTGCATACATTCCAAATTCTATTAATTGATGTGTGCAGCTCTGTCTTCTCATTTTGAGCTGTGCACTATCAACAAAGGAAGGTCCCAAAGGCTTGACTCCCACAGGCTTTACTCCACCCAGGTGATCACGGTCAACTCCACCTCGAGAAGGCTGCTCTTTCTCGTCACATTGTGAATGCCTTCTGACCTGAAGGCCGCGTCTTCGGGCACTATCTCTGACAATGTTCTGCTTCTTTTCACGAGGGCTTCAGTCTCTGACAATGTTTGGATTCAATCCATAAGGTTTCCCACGGCTAATTCCTCACAAGTGGACAGTCCATTCCAACTTTGTAGCCTAATTTCATCCGGAAGCTCCGCTGAGACCCATCTGTTCACCCCGGGTGACACTGCTGGTGATATAGCTTCCAGCATCACAGCCACACACAAGCCGCCGCAGTACAACAAACTGATAGACAGGATGAATGTATAGATGTATTCATGTTGCACAGGTAGATGACAAACAGAAAAACAGAAATTCAGAAGGTTTCCCCAAATCTGGTTTCAACCATGTGAAAAATTTTATGCATTTAGCTTATAGAGAAAGTGATAAAAATAAACATGAACAATGCTTTTTTTTTAAACCAAAGCAAAGGGAATAAAACATGAAAATAATGTCAATATATTAAATAAGCATTTTAAACAATACTTACCACTTTTATTACATATCTTGCATCTTCATCCAGTTTATTTGTGGGGAATGCTGCAGAAAAAAAGAGAAGAAAACAGCTGCTTTCAATGACTACTCACTGCACAAGCCAGTGTGCGAGGCATTTCCACAACCGCTTAAAGAAGTACATCTCCACTGGACATCATCTGCAAGTCAAGTTTAGAGAAGCTGAATAACTTACATACTAGCCAAAGGCAATTTGGGGATTGAAATGCAACTCAGACACTTTATCAAAAGTATCCAAACTTTATTTAGATATTATTTTTAAATAACTTAAATTTTATTGAACTATCTAAAGCAACAGACAATATCAAATATAAGTATATGAATCAAAGATGTAGGCAGAAAAAATTTTCCTATGGCATTAAATATAATAGATGATATATACTTAAGGTCCTGTAATCAATTTCACAAAATTAGAACCTACCTATAAAAACTTGGAAATGAAAATTGATGAATTCTGTGTGTGAATTTGAAAATATTTCCACTTCACAGAGTTCTAAAATAAACCTCACTAGAATAAAAATTAGGTCCCAAATAATCATATTCTGCATCTAGCAGTCATTATTCCTCGCTGAGAAAGTATTCAGGAAGAACCCTCAACATTTCTCAAGCTGAAGTCAGTGGAGAAAACATTAGCACCTCAATGTGCCTTGTTTAACAGTTGTAGGAGCAACATGGGCCCCTGGTGGCACAGTGATTACACACTGCGCTGCTCATGGCAAGGTCAGCAGTTTGAAACAACAAGCTGCTCCTCAGGAGTAAGGAGGGGCTTCCTACCTCTCAAGAGTTACTGTCTCAGAAACTCACAGAGGCAGTTCTACCCTGTCCTATAGGGTAGATTCGATGGCAGTAAGAAATGGGCAAAACAGAGCCATACAGGACACATTAAAGGAAGGAATACATCGAGTCTCCGCAGCAAAAGAACTTGGTTGTTTTTCAGCCATTTCAGGAGGTAGTAGGCAATCAAGATATGCTGGTATTCAAGGAAGAAGTACAAGGAGCACTCAAGGCAGTGATGGAAAACCAGGCTCCAGGAATTAACATACACCACCTGAGGTGTTTCAACAAAGTGATGGAAAACTGGAAGAACTGACCCATTTTTGGAAAGAAATTTGCCGGCCAACTGACAGGAAAAGATTCACATTCATGCCCAATTCAGAGGCAATCCAACAGAACTATTAAACAGTATCATTATCACCGCAAAAGGTAAAATTTTACAGATAATAATCTAAAACTAGTTGTACCAATACATGGCAAGAAACTGCCAGACACTGCTGGTATCGGATGGATCTTGGCAGAAAGCAGAGAATACCAGAAAGATATTTAGCTGCTTTTTATCATTTGTAAAAAAGTGTTCAACTTTAATAAATTACAGATACGTTTCCAAAGAATGGGAATTCCAGAATACTTCACGGGGTCTCTGTAACCATCGTACACAGACCAAGAGGCAGTTGTTCATAGAAAACAAGGGGAGATACATGGTTCAAAATCAGGAAAGGTGTGTAACAGGTCTGTATCCTTGCATCATACTTACTCGAGATGTATGCCGAGCAAATAATCTCAGAAGCTGGACCACAGGAATGAGAACATCACCTCAGGATCGAAGGCAGGCCCAAGAACCACATGGCACATAACCTTGCTTGCTGGCAGCGAGCAGCACTTGAGGCCAAAAGTCCAGTCTTCAGTGGGGTTGGTGCCTGGACACCAAGGACACACACACCCTCACAAATGGACCAATCAGCAAACCCCTCGCAACCGGAGAAAAGACCAATGTCAAAGCTTTCATTTTACTTGGATTCACAAAATGGTTCAGGGAAGCGGCAGTCAAAAAGTCAAAAGCATTGTGCAGATATGCTATAAAAGGCCCCCTGGAAAGTTTGAAAAGCAAAAATGTCATTTTGAGGAGTAAGGTGCACCTGATCCAGGATATGGTATTCTCAGTCATCTCATATGCATGGAGAAGGTGGACAATGAATAAGAAAGACTGAAGAAAAACTCATATACTTTGATTATTATTATGATGGTGAAGAATGAGCAGAGCTGCCTCAGAAAAAGTACAGCCAGAACGCTCCTTAGAAGTGAGGATGGCGAAACTCATATATTTAGAATAGGATATCAGGAGGGACCAGAGCCTGGAGAAGACATCATGCTTGGTAAGACAGAGGGCCAACCAACAGAGAGGAGGAGCCTCGGTGAGACAGCCTGGCATAGTCGCTGCCACAATGGGTGGAAGCTCAGCAACAATGATGAGGATGGTGCAGGGCAGACCAGGTTTTCCAGTGTTGGGCAAAGGATTGCTATGAGTCAGAAATGGCCCGATGGCACCGAACAATAGCAGCAACAAGAAATAAGAATCTCCTGATACAAATTCCTTGCCATTTCACGTTATTGGCATCATTTTAATTCCCATTTTTTATTTAGATTTCAGATAAGTAATCCGACTCCATAATCTCTTCTACATTATCTGAATGATTCCGATGTTGCTCTATTTTCAAATCTCATTAAAAGGAATTAACATATAAAATTATAGTATTAAAGTATGTTAATTCTGACATCCATTTACAGTCTTCATCCATTTATTTCTTCCTTCCTTCAACTAGCCAATACTTATCGGAAAGCCACAATATGCCAAGAATGGTGGTAAGTGTTAGTTAGGAGGATATTTTAAAGAAAAGGAAACAAAAAAAGATAGAGCCCGGGTTGAATACAACTAAAAATTGATACTTTCAAAGTGAGCACAAGATCAGATTCCTCAGCTATACTTGTGGCACATTTATCAGAAAGTCTGTGTTCTCATGTCTTTTTCCTCACTCCTCCCCCATTTCCTAACTGTGCCAACGGTTATCTGTTCTCTATGAATTCACATCACAGATGTAAAAAAAATACACAACAAATTTATTAAAGCATATAAATTCTATTTTACAGTTGAAGCAACTCAGGCACACTTTTCTTTACCTTTCCCCAACATTTCTGAGGTCAGCAATACTATTAGCCAGTTGAAGAAATAACTTCAATTTTAGCTGATATTAGATATACACTGTGAATTCAGACTGCTGTACAGTAACAAAGAAACTAAACTATATTTGTATCTATTAAAATCCTCTTTCCATATTTATTCATGTAAAGATACTTCATTTTTCAGTTGATATTAGATATAAATTGTGAATTCAGAGTTCTGTGCAGTAACAAAGAAGCTAAACTATATTTGCATCTATTAAAATCCTCTTTGCATCTTTATTCATGTAAAGATACTTCATTTTTCTCCCTCACAGAAGTCTCAGGGGAACTGCAGGAGTGAATTCACCAGAATAGAAGAGTCCACACAGGGGACCGGGTCCGGACTCAGTAAGGAAGAATACCCCAAGGTATGGTGCCTGCGCCTGAGACCTAGCCCCGCCTCAGCCCTGGTCCACTCAGAACAAAGCCTATTCTAAGCAATGGCTTTATTTCCTGAAGGAAAAGTTGGTAGAAAATCCCTGCTTCTAGTTTAAAAGTGACCACAGCAGTAGAGATGATTTCAAGCCTGGTAGAGGGCACCATGTGCAAGGGCACAGAAGGAAAGCAGGAGTGTTACTTAGATGAATATTGTTCAACAGGCCTTCTGTACTGGTGGGTCGCAAATTGGAGGATTCAACCAATCAACAGATAGAAAATATTGGGGGTGGGAGAGGGAAGGAATAAAAGCAGGAAGTGATCAAGGCTACCCTTCAAAGGTTAAGAGGGAGTATGCAGTGCCACTTACACTGTGTTTTCATTTATTAGGTATTATAAGCAGGCCAGAAGTGATTTAAAGTGTGCAAGAGATGCGCATGTTACGTGCAAACACTAAGGTGACTGATGTAAGGGACTTCAGCATCTGTGGGCTTTGGCATCTCTGGAGGATCCTGGAACCAATCACTCTGGGATACCAGGGAACAACTGTATTTTGCTGCCAGTGGGAAAAAGCTAACTGACCACTCCAATGCCTTACTTCCTTATTCCAATTAGTATATCCCTAATTATTTTATACTCTTGATGAGTGATCATTCTGTTTCTCATAATCATGTATTGACACACACTCGCGGCCACATGCCCATATTTGTCCATTGTTAAACAAGATTGTCTATCAGCCCCCAAGCCAGTATGATGACGTGACCAATCCCCAAATTCACTGATTAGAAAGCTCTTACAAATAGATGCATTGTTTGAATTAACAGATTGTCCTAGGGTGATGGTCAGGGGTCCTGGTGATTCAGCAGTCAAATCCTTGCCTTCCACATGGGAGACTGAGGTCTAATTCTTGGCCAGTGACCTTCAAGCACAGTCACCGTGCACATATCTGTGACACTTGTATGTTTGATACGGAGCAAGTTACAGAATAACTGCTGAGCTAAGATAAGGAAGAAAGGCCCGGCAATCTATTTATGAAAGATCAGACCATGAAGACCCTATAGATCCTCAGATCCCTGTGCACAGGGGATGCCATGAACTGGGGCCAACTCTACTGCGGCTGGCAGAAACAGCCTATCTCTTCTTTATGGTGGAGCAATCTATCCACCAATTAATGAAACCAGTATTTATTTTCAGTGGGTAAAGCCCGATTGTAACTAGAATAAAATCATGATAGGACAGGCACGGTTCCCAATTTTACAGTCTAATGGGAAAAATCAATCAACAAATACACACAGTTTTAAAACTGTGAGTGTAGTGAACATGCGAGGGAAAGGTATGTTATGAAAATGCGTTCTTTACTTGATAGAGAAGAAAATGGCTGATCAAGAGCAGTTGCAGTGGTAGTGAAGAAGCAGACAGAAATTCAGTTAACACTTTCCAATGAAAGTTTCCAGAGCCAAAAATGTAGTTGGGGCCTTGCATTCTGAACAGATCACATGAGTAGGGAGGCCAGACTGATGGGGAGAGTGCATATCAACAGATCAGTGAAAATTCTGGCAAGTCAGATGAGAGGATTATAACTTCAACTGGAGCGTTATAGTACATGAGAGAAAAGAACAAATCCCAGCTAGATTCAAGAAGTCAAATGGGAGGATGTA